TTCTATTCTATTCTATTCTATTCTATTCTATTCTATTCTATTCTATTTCCTGCCCCAGAACTAACTTATATTTGAAGACAGCTGTTTAGAGGCTAGGTTTGATCCACTTACTCAAATTGTATGGAATCAGCAGCCTAGGTCAGGAGCCCAGGAAAGAACCCTTAGGGTCCTACTGAGGCAAGAAGTCCAGCTTCAGGTCTTTATTTGGCTACTCTGGACCAGGTGTCAGGGAACAAGCAAGTGCTATAATCAGGACTGTGCAGAAAAGCCTGTAAGCAGGAGGTAGATTCTGTCAGGATCCAGGCCTGCCAGGGGGTGAAGGCCATAAGAGAAGGGACAGGGCTTCTGAAATGATGAATGGGAGAACTTGGCAGCAGAAAGAGTCCTGACATATAGACCAAATAAAATTGCTTGTTTTGGGGGACTGGCTTAAGCACTGGAGGTGAGAAGCCTGAATCTCTACCTACTCATTGACTGTAGCAGTACCTCCCTCACTGCCCCAGCTGAGACTCCCCTGCCCCCACCACCAGAATGTCCACAAACATTGCCAAGTGAGACCAGGGAAGTGGGTGGTGCGGGTTGGCCCCAGTTTGAGATATCCCAGCCCACGTGGAGGGGGAAGGAACAAGCACCCATCTCCAGGGCCAGGCTCTGTTAAGTGAGAGTATGGGTTATTGATTACTACTGCAGGGGTAAAGGCAAGAGGTAAAGGTTGGACAGCCAGGGTGGTCTTCTTCAAGGAAGTCCCCTCAGAAGAATGCATGGGAATCATCCCTCTCTCAACACACAGCCCCTGAGACAACTTTTACTGGAACATTCAAATAGCAGGAACAGTCAGAAACTCCTAGAATCTTTGGGGAAGAGTTTTACTGTACAACTTCCTCTCTCCCCCAACACACACACACACCTGCAGTCTTGGCTTTCACCTTACACTGTGGCTTCAGAACTAGCATAGGTTCCTACGTAACAGAGTAACCCATTTCACTCAGTATCCACAGACAGGCATATCTGTTTAAACAGGTCAGACAGCACAACTCATAGAACTACCTGCATTCCCTACACCCACTGCTGTCTGAGCATCCCTGAACTATGACCGCAAACACCTGGAGACTGTGGTGGGAACCCTAGGGAATGTTCTCCTGGAGCATCCTGGAGAAGCAGGGCTTTGGTCTGTTCTGGATTACCTGCGGAGGACAAGGCAGGATTCCTGGGAAGGGCTAGAGGCTGGCAGGCTACACCAACACGTATTTCTGCCTCTGAGCTTCATTTGCTCCTCTCTCCAGAGTCCTCCCCGTCAGACCCTTCCGCAAGCACGCCCAGCTCCTACCCCACTCTCAGTGAAGTGTTTGGCAGGAAGAGGAAGAAACGGACCAGCATCGAGACCAACATCCGCCTGACGCTGGAGAAGCGATTTCAAGATGTGAGCAGCATCCTCGGGTGGGAGTGGGCGGGCCAGCTTGTGCTGGTGGGTGAGCGGGTCTCACCTGTGCAAGACACTGGGCTCAGTGCTAGACCCTTAGCACTACCCCTACCCTCTGCCCTCTGGGAAGAAGCCAAGTCACCCTCTTACTCCAGGAGCCCAGGAATGATGACCTTCTTCCAGAGTTCCAGGAAACTCTTTTCCTCTTTTCTCCAACATTTATTTGAGGCCCACTGTCCCTGTCACTGGAAGATTCAAGAACAGAACACAGCATCCCAGTGGTGGTGGTGGTGGGGGGGTGTCTGTATACCTTTGAGGTAACAGGAGAAAGCTGGGGCATTATGTAAGTCTCTGTCTTCTTTGAAGCAAATTTTACTTTTCAGCTTAAAAGTATAATAAAAGTCTTGCAAATCGGCTTACTGAGGAGGGAAACGTGCTTGTAGACAAGACTGACAACCAGAGTTCAATCCCTGGAATACCAGTTCCTGCAAGTTACCCTCTGGCCGCCATACACCTTTGCCCTGGTGTGGGCCCCTACTCCCAAATAAATAAATGTTATTTTTAAAAAAAAAAGATTTAAAAACTTAAAAAAAAAAAACAAAACAAAACAGTAATGCTCATTGTCAACAAACTGGAAAACACAGGAAGAGAAGTAGAGAGGAAAAACAATCCATCACCCTTTGTTTTGTTTTGATTCTTTTTTATCTGTCTGCCTGCCTGTCTGCCTGTCTGCCTGTCTGTCTGCCTGTCTGCCTGTCTGTCTGTCTGTTCTGTCTTTACTTTTTAAAGATATGGTTTCACACGGTGGCTTACCCAGGCTGACCTGTATATAACCCATTCTGTAGCCCAGGCTGGCCTCAAGCTCACAGCAATCCTCCTGAGTCCATCCCCAAGGGTTAATTATAGGCTTGTGCCTCTCCCCTCCCCTCCCCCAGCCTCCAGAGCCTTCTGAAAGGAGCTGCTTGTGTTTCTTCTTCCATGAACATTTCCACACTTGTGATTATACTGCACAGTCTCCTTTTTTTCACCAATTAAAATGTGTATTTACGTCTTTTTTTAATTAAAAGTTTTCAAATCTTTCCATGTTCTAAATTAGACATTCTAGCCATAGAAACTTTTTCTTTCTCATTTATTTACTTATTTATTTATAATTTATTCACTTTATATTCCAATTGTAGCCCCCTCCCTTATCTCCTACTAGTCCCACCCTCCGTCCCTCTTCCCCACTATCTCCCTCCTCTAGTCCACTGAAAGGGGAAGTCCTCCTCCCCTACTGTCTGACCTTAGCCTATCAAGTCTCAACAGGACTGCTGGATCCTCTTCCTCTGTGGCCTGGCAAGGGGGAAGTGATCAAAGAGTAGGCAACCGAGTTCCTATCAGAGACAGGCCCTGCTTCCTTTACTCGGGGACCCACATGGAGACTAAGCTGCCTATGGGCTACCTCTGAGCAGGGGGTCTAGGTCTTCTCCATGCATAGTTCTTGGTTGGTACATCAGTCTCTGAAGGGCCCTCAGACTTTTTAGCCATAGATTCTAAACAAATATTCTTGAGGCAGTGTGTACAAGCTGTGAGCCTCGTGGGAGCTGAGGGTGAGAAGGAGGAAGTACAGAAGACTACTGAGAGCCTCTCTAGGGATCCCTCAGGTAGCAGCCCCTAGAGCCTACTGGGATGCTGAAATCTAGTCAGCCCAGCCTTGGAGCTCCCAACTGCTAGGACTGCTGCCCTGGAGCAAGTGGCCCACTGAGTCCAGCTCAGGGACGCTACGGCTGCATCCTGGCAGCAGGATGACTGGAGCTGAGTTTCCCATCTTTTTAGGTTTCTTAGAACAGTACAGTTAAAGGAAGATGCAAGGATAAGGAGAAAGAGGCCCAGGCCACAGACTGGGTGGTAGGTCAGAAGGACAGGGTGATGATATCATTTTGCCTGCAGCTCTCCCACAGACTTGCTAGGCCTGAGAGTTCCAGCCTCCTCATTTTTGAAGAAGAGATGTGAGAGAGGTTATGAGGAACGACTCAGAGAGGAGCATTTTTTTCTCCTGAAAAAAATTCACCTGTGGAGGCCTTGACGTGGAACTTACTCCCAGGGGAAGAAGTATAGGCAGAAACCTAACTTCTGTATCCTCTCTCCTGTACCAGCCTTGTGCTCGATGGTGTACACATGCTTTCTCTTGTAACCCTTACCCGAGTCCTATGTGCTTGTCTCATTCCATTTGTAGAAAGACTGAGTTAAAGGGAATTCCTAAAGACAGTCCGTACATACGTGATAAAGCCGGTATTCTACCCTCAGTCTGACTCTAAGGCATTTATTTGAGCCATACATTCAATTCTTTGTGTTTGGAACTTCTGACCCTCATCTCCAGTACCTGAACCTGTTTCTGTCTCCTGACCACACCCTATCCCTTTGTCCCTATAGAACCCTAAACCCAGTTCAGAAGAGATTTCCATGATTGCGGAGCAGTTGTCCATGGAGAAGGAGGTGGTAAGGGTCTGGTTCTGCAATCGACGCCAAAAGGAGAAGCGAATCAACTGCCCTGTGGCCGCCCCCATCAAGCCACCCATCTACAACTCCCGGCTGGTAAGTAGCTTGGAGCCAGGCTGACTACCAAGTACTTGGGGGGCATATTCCTGGAAGCCAAGAGCCTTCCATCCTTGAGAATGGTGATTAGTGGATAGGGGAGATTCTGTACATGAGTAAACAAATGAATACAACATATAAACATGCATAATATAGAGAAGATTAAAGATGGAGACAAGGAAGGTTGCTGGGATGGTATAGCCAGTAAAGGTGTTTCCTGCACAACTTGACCTAATTTTTATGAGGAAGGAGAGAACCGATTCCCAAAAGCTGTTCTCTTATCTTCACACATGGTATGTGCCACTCCCATAACCACACATGTATGTAAAATAAATAAAATGTAATACGATTTTTAAAAACACACATAAAGGTGCACAAAGTGATTGAGGTGTTTGTGTCTTTTTAACAGTTGGACTGGAGCTGGCATGTCTCGTTAGGTAGTGTTTGAATGAAAAGTCTGAACTTTGTAAGGGGGTGAAATATGTGTATATTTAGGGGAAAGAGTATTCAAGGCGGAGGGACCAGCGAGGAAGTCTATGCAAAAGGGACAGAAGGCAGAGGAATTTCGAGAAGTAGCATGGCGTAGACTCCCCAGGGTCTTGGTGTTCAGTGAGAGGGCCCAGGACTTCAGCTGACTGGAATAGGAAGGTATTGGAGAAGCCTGGATGTGTAAGTCTGAGCTGGTTGACATGGCTGGTGGGTGGGAATAACGTGGGAGGCAGGAGACCAGCCAGGAGAGAGAGCCATCAGCTGAGAGGAGGTTTGGACGGTGGTAGCCATGGTGATGAGAATGAGCTGGCTGGAATCTTTATGTTTTTCAGCTATGAAGCCATTAAGAGGTGCTAATGGCTCGGATCTGAAAATCAGAGCTGCAGGCTGGGAAGCACTGCCATGTTTGTTTGTTTGTTTTCGGGTTGTTACTTTTGTTTTGTTTGTTTTATAGTACAGGGTTTCGTGTGGCCCAGGCCAGCTTTGAGCTCTCTATGTAGCCGAGGATGAGCTCCAGCTCCTGAGTGCTGGGATTATGGGCATGCACCACTGCACTTGTTTTTCTCCTGCTAGGTAGGGGACCCAGGGCTTCCTGCATGCTAGGCAAGCGCCCTACCAACTGAGCTACCTATGTACTGGAATTATAGGCATGGGCCACCATGAATATTGTTGGCACTGCCCTTTAAAAAATGTTGAACTGGACATGGTGGCCCATGCCTTTAATCCCAGCACTTGAAAGTTGGAGGCAGGCTGATCTGTGAGTTCAAAACCAGCTTGGTATATGTACATAGTGAGTTCCAGGACAGCCAGGACTACCTAGACTGACCCTGTCACCAAATAAAAATAATGAAGAGGAAGGTGATGATGATGATAAAAATGTTGAGGACTGCATGAAGAGCAGGCTTGAGAGACAAGGACAGCTGAGAATCTGGGATGGCCATATTAAGTTAGATGTGTTTACTGGGCACCCAAGAGGCGGTGCCTAGTTAGGGCTAAGTTTCAGGGAAAAGACAAGGTTGAGAATAACCTGAGGTTCTAGGGAGGCACAGAGGATTGGGATTTAGAAAGTCTCTGCTCCATCCACAAACAGATGTGACTTGGTTAGTGGTACAGAGTTCTCCATCGTTGAGAACATTAATGGTAGAAGGGTAGGGGAGTTGGAGAGAATGATGTCCTCTAATCTCCCAGCATTTCAGGGTAGTTGCAGGCTGGGTAGGATGCAGCAGCTCCATAAAGACTACTACATGGTTGATTTCTCCCCAGGTGTCCCTGGACCAGCTCTATGCTGGTCTTTGTGCCAAGTGCTGGAAATAGAAAGATAAATACCAGAGCTGGCACGGTGGCATATGCCTTTAATCCCAGCACTTGGGAGGCAGAGGCAGGCAGGCAGATCTCTATTAGTTAGAGGCCAGCCTGATCTACAGAGCAAGTTTCAGGATAGGAAAGGCTACACAGAAGAAACCTTGTCTTGAAAACAAAAAGAAAAAAAGAAGAAAGAAAGAAAGATAAATACCATTTATTCCCAGTCCAAGAGGACCTCATTGTCTAGAGAGGACACACACACATAAGTAAACAAGATCATTTCTCTAAGTGACTCTAGTTAGGCACAGCAGCTGACACACCTTGGGAAGGGTGGCTAGGAAAGCTTCCCCAAGGAGGTCATTAATGCCTGAGCTGAGTCTGCAAGAGACAGGTAAGTGTGAGGCGGACCTGTCTCCAGGGGAGATGTGAGAAAAGTGAGGTGGGGAAGAACATACAGTGCATTCACGGAGCTGCGGGTGGTTCCATGTAGAGGAATGTTGAAAAGTGAGGCTGAACTGATCACAGGGCAGGTGATAGAGAACAGCACCAAGAGATAAACAAGGGCTGGGGCTGTAGTTTACTTGGTAGAGTGCTTGCCTACTATGCTTGAGGCCCTGGGCTCCATCTTCAGCACCAGCATGTAATCTCAGCACTTAGGAGGTGGATCTGGAGCTCGTGGTCATCCTCAACTACTTAGCAAATACAGGAGCAGATTGAGCTACATGAGGCTTATCTCAAAAACAAACAAACAAAAATATAGACAAAAGGCCTTGGTTAGTAAACTGAGAACTGGTTCAGGGCAGGGAGGTTGATGGAAGGAGAATCCTTGGGATGACTCAGAGTGTTCAGGCTGGGCTGGTTGGGTAGATGGTAGCAGTATACGTGGACCAAGCAAACAGGATCAGCCGGTTTTGGAGTGGGGAAAGGTAGTACTCCAGTTCTTTGCATCATCATGATGTAGGTCTGCAGGACACTTAAGTGGGACTGTCCCTAGAGACTTGGAATGATGGCTACAGAGATGAGGGAAAAGGCTTGGATGGAGACAGGGGTTGGGGGTATCAGAACAGTAACAGGTAACAGGGTACAGAGGTGGCAGTTGAAGTCCTGAGTGAGAAGAAAGTCTCTTAACGAATTGGTGTAGAGAAAGAGAAAGGTCCACTCCCAAACCTTGGGGACATCAGCCATTTGAAAGCAAGAGGATCAAGGGAAGAAACAATGGAGGAAGAGCCCGAGAAGGCAAGAAATAAAACCAATTGCATATGAGAGGTCTAGCCAGGCACGAGTCCCACAGGAGCATTATGGGAATGCAGATAAAAGACATTCATGTCAGGATGGCATCCACAAGTAGGGCTTGATTTTGCCTGAAGCCCATGATTTGCTTGAAGAACACTATGAATTAGCAAGACTAGGTCAGCAGGCCGAAGGAACAGCCTGTGAAAAGGCATGCTGTTAAAGAACCCCAGACTGAGCTGTCTCCCAAAGGAATCTGGGTTCAAGTCCAAGGAACACACTGTCCAAGATGTCCTATGCTGTCTTCTGGCACCTGCAGGAACCAGGCGTGCCATGCCGATGGTTGCACAGACATGCATGCAAGCAAAACACCCATACACAGAAAACTAAATAAATCTTAAGCCACATCGCACCTGGAAGGCAAAGTTCCACAGCAGACATCCTGAGAAGAGGATAGAGAATGTCTTCTGATCCTCTTTTTTCCTCAAATCTTGATGGAATGAAAACTGGTGTCCTTTGTTTCTGATACAAAGCAATCTTAAGATAGTTAAGTTGGGGCTGGAGATATGGCTCAGAGGTTAAGTTCTTGCAAAGGGTCCTGAGTTCAATATCCAGCAACCACATGGTGGCTCACAACCATCTATAATGAGATGTAGTGCCCTCTTCTGGCCTGCAGGTGTACACGCAGTCAGAACACTGCATACATAATAAATCTTGTTTTTTAAAAAAAGATAGTTAAGTTAAAAAAATAAATTAATAAGGTCTGGAGAGATGGCTCAGTGGTTAAGAGATCATACTGCTTTTACAGAGGACCTGATTTCAGTTTCTAACACTCACTTGTGCTCACATCCACCAGCTGCAGGGGATCCAATGCTCTGGACTCCATGGGCACTGCAGTCACATGCTCATGCTTCCCCTCCCCCTACCAGCACATATACACATAGTTAAAAATAAAACTTTTTTATTTAGTTTTTTTGATATAGGGTTTCTCTATGTAGTTCTGGCTGTCCTGGAACTCACTCTATAGGCCAGGCTGGCCTTGAACTAAGAGATTTGTCTGTCTCTGCCTCCCCAGTGCATGTGCCACCATATCCAGCTAAAAATAAAATATTTTAAAAAAATGTAAAGGGGTTTGGAAGGTGTATATACCTCTATGGTATAGCACTGGCTCAGCATGCATAAGAATATGGGATCGGTTCCCAGCCACATACATGCACGCGCACGCCCACCCACACACACACACACACACACACACACACACGCTGCATGATTGTACAGATCACTTTGGCACCATTTCCCTACCATATGTAAAAAAAAATTCTTTAAGGAACCATATATGTGTATGTTTACATATGCATAGCCTGTCTAGCTGGAAATGAGAGGAGCCAATGACAGTAGCTACATACATTATTATTCATTTGAAAAGAACATACTTCTTGGGTATGGCATCTGGGAAGGGAGGAGGGGAGGTGATTGATAACATCTCTCATCACTCTGCCCCACCTCCCAAACTGTCCCACACTGGCCTCTACCCCTTGCAGCCCTGCCCACCAAGGAAGCTCATTGTGAAAGGTAAGTGGAAGCATGGAGAAGGATTGCTGTTGGAGGGGAGGGTCATAGCAGGTGGCAGGTCCCTCCATGGAGCCTCTACATCAGCAGCCTATGAAAACGCTGGCCACAGCTTCCCTGCCAACATGAGGAAAGGAGAAGGAGTGAAAATATGCAGATTTCCACTCAAAAGTGAAGCTAAAACAGTAAACAATAGTCCATAGCCTTTCTTTAGGGAGTAAAAGAACATTTAACAAGCTGGTGCACTTCACCAGCCATAGGGTTTGAGGCTTTATGGACATTATCTCATTAAGTCTTACTTAAAAGAAATATCAGGGAAGTGCTGCTGCCGTTTCACAGATGAGAGAACTCAGCCTCCCTGGGGATGACAACTTACAGTCATGCAGACAGTCAATGGCAGGCCTGGGTCTCAAACCCAGGTCTGTCCATTCCTTAGGATTTCTTGTTCCAGGCTGTTTTTGGGTAATCATGAGAGGTAGGGTCCTGAGCTGGGAGGTTAAACTTTAGTATGTGTGTGTGTTTGTATGTTGGTAGGCCAGTGGTCAACATTGGGTATCTTGCTCAATTGCTTTTCATCTCATTTCTTGAGATAGGCTCTTCCGCTGAACCTGGAGCTCCCTGGCTTGGCTACATGGGTTGACTGGCAAGCCCGAAGGATCCTCTTGTGTTTGCCTTCCCAGCATGGGATTACAGGCTTTGACTGTTGTTGCTCCTGGCTTTTACATAAGTGCTGGAAATCTGAACTCAGGTCCTCATTCTTGATAGGCAAGCATTTTACTGATTGAGCCAAGCTGTCTCCCTAGTTCCTGAATGGCTCCTTCTGGTATTTTAACTCTCTGCCTGCCTCCTTTTGGGGAGGGCTTCATGGTGAGGCAGGGTCTTGCTATGTATCCCTAGCTGACTCAGAACTCATAGCAGTTCCCCCGCCTCAGTCTCCCAAGTGCTGAGACTACAGCTATGAAAGTAGAAATGGAGCAGGTAGCCAGCAGCATCTGCCAGAGCAAGGACCTCAAAGGCTTGCCCCTCTTATCACCAGGGCACTTGGACAAGCCTTCAGCCTGGCAGTACAAAGAGGGGGAGTGGTCTGTGTCAGGAACAGGGAGCTTCCAAAGCAGGCCAGAATTGGGTCTGGTATGTAGTCCACAGGTCTCCCTAATGAAGTACAAGGTGAAAACTATGGAGTAGGGGGTCACCAAGGAAGTTGTATGCTCTCTGCAGCCGTTAACCCACTGTCCTGAGAAAAGAAGGAAGATGCGGCATGGACACTCACAAGCCTCTCTTCCTTTCAGGTCTCTCCCTCAGGGTCTCTGGGCTCCCTCTCCATCCCTCCAGTCCACAGCACCATGCCTGGAACAGGTGAGCTTTCAAATGATGTTTCCAGACACCACCAGAATTAATCTAAATAACGCATTAATCCCAGTGCTTAAGAGACAGAGGCAGGTGTTCAGGGCCAGCCCAGTCCACAAAGCAAGTTCCAGGACAGCCAGAGCTACCTAGAGGACCCCTGTCTCAAACAAAACAAACAAACATACAAAAGCTGAAAGGCACTCAATCTAAGTGTGTCTCAGAAGACATTAAGTTAAAAACCAGTGCTGGGAGGAACAGGCTTCCATGATCATGTAAGTTTAAGAAATGCTGGTAAGCAGAGTTTAAGCGAACAAGTATTTGTTTTGATTTTTATTTCAGCATGGCTGAGCACTCAGGGTGTAATGCATTCCAAATGAGCTTTACAGAAAGCCAGAGGAAGATGGGTTCCCAAACACGTTTCCAGGGTTCTATTTTCCTAAAAGCACCTGTAGTGTTTCAAAGATACAGTGGCCATTTTTCCAGCTGTCCTCTTAGAAGTGCTAATAGCTGCCTCAAATGCTGATATAAGGCCCAGTACGTCCTTTTTTTTTTTTTTTTTTTTTTTTTTTTTTTGCGTGTGTGTGTGTGTGTGTGTGTGTGTGTGTGTAATCTTAGTTTGAATAGTAAAATATATGGCACTCTATTCATGAAACACATGTTGGGGTTCTAAACACAAGGAGTATCTATTTAGTCCAAAGCTACCATTTTACAGAGGATGAAGATGAGGCTCAGGGTGGCCCAGGGCAGGCCCAGGGCCAAGAGAAGGCTTGGGACCCCTTCAAAGGGACCACGTGCATTTTCTTTGTAGAGTCAGAGAATTTGAGATTCAGGCAGTCTCTCTGTTCCCAGGTTTGCTTTCTCCCCGAGCCTCTGCTTTTCCTAAGCTTCATATTGTCTTCCCTTCCCGCCCAGGGTGTGTCCTGAAGTAGAATGATTTTGGCATTTGTCCTCCATGCATTTGACAAGTTTTGGACTGCCAGAACCAGCCACACTGCTCTGAGTGACTGGGCTGCAGGGAGCACTTGAAATGAGAGCCCCACCAAGGGTGGGCTGACGGGTGGGCCTTGCTGTGGCTGTGGTGGAAGGTGGGCAGATGGGTGGGGGTAGAGTGCCCATGGGGGATTACATCAGGAAGTTGTGTATTGGAAGGGCCATGTCACTAAGGTCGGCAGACCCAGCATGCATTATTATGGCCTTGTTTTTGTCTCCCTTTGTCCTTAGTAACGTCATCCTGTTCCCCTGGGAACAACAGCAGGCCTTCGTCTCCTGGCTCAGGACTCCATGCCAGCAGCCCCACAGCATCTCAAAATAACTCCAAAGCACCAGTGAACTCCTCCTCCGGCTTTAACTCCTCAGGGTGAGTGGAGGGCAGTGAGGAGGCCCCTGGCAGTCTCAGAGGCATTCGAGGAGTTGGGCCAGTGCCATGGGCGAGAGCTGGGAATGGAAAATGGGTAGTAGTGCGGATGGGATGGAAAAGAGAGGACAGGGTGAAGAGCTAGATAGACTGCATCCCCAGGGAGCTAGGATTTACAAAGAAGCTGTAGCCAGTGAGCAGTCCTGGCAAGGGCTGATGTCAACAAAGCCAAAATTTCCATCCTCACTCTGATGGTGGAAATTTCCAAATGCTCACGTGCAAAATGATCAGGTCCTTCCCTGGGCTCAGGAGCACTCCACAGCAGGAACTCCAAGTCACAGGACACTCTGATGCGAGTCTGGAACTAAGGTATGGACCAGCTTTGGCCTTCAGGTGTGGCTGACACAAGGAGTCAGAAAAGAGCTTCAGAATCTTGTCTTCTAGTTACACCTGGGAGGCAGAAGGGCAGGCTCTCCTGGGCCTAAGCTCACAAGCTCATTAAACTACTGGGAAAAGCGTTCTTAGAATAGATGCTATGAGAACCCTCTCTCGTGAAAAGGAAGACAGAGGTCTGAAGGAGGGTGTGGGGCTGGGCACACAGTCCAGCTGGTAAAGTGCATGCCTTGCAAGCATGAGGACTGACTCTGATCCCCAGAACTATATTTTAAAAAGCCCCTTGTGGCGGTGTGTTTGTAATCCCTGGGCTGGGGTGGAAGTGAGCTCCTGGCCAATGAGAGAACCTCTCTCAAATAAGGTGGGCAGCAGTCCTAAAGATGACACCCAAGGTTGTCCTCTGGCCTCCATACGTGTGCACAAAATTGTCTTAGTTAGGATTTCACTGCTGTGAAGATATGGCATGCCTTATAAAGGAAAACATTTAATTGGGGCTAGTTTACAGTTTCAGATACCATTACCATCATGGCAGGAAGCATGGCAGAATGTAGGCAGACATGGTGCTGAAGAAGGGGCTGAAAGTTCTGTATCTTGATCCTAAGGCAGCAGAAGAAGACTGTTTGCGACACTGGGCGTGTGCGACACTGGGTGTAGCTTGAGTATATATGAGACCTCAAAGCCCACCCCCACAGTGAAGCACTTCCTCCAGCAAGGCCCCACTTCCTAATAGTGCCACTCCCTATGGGCCAAACATTCAAACACCTGAGTCTAGCTCGAAGGTGGTGGCGCAGGCCTTTGATTCCAGCACTTGAGAGGCAGTTGAGTTTGAGGCCTGACTAGTCTAAAGAACAAGTTCCAGGACCGCCAGGGCTACACAGAGAAACCCTGTCTCCAAAAAAAAAAAAAAAACAAACAAATAAACAAATACATGTGTCTATGGGGCCATTCTTATTCAAACTACCACACAGATGCACATTCATTTTTTAAAAAGAAATTTGGCCAGGTGGCATACATCTGTATTCCCAGCATTTGGGAGTCTAAGGCAGGAAGATTGTAGATTTGGAGGCAGCCTGTCTTCTTCTTCTTTTTTTTTTTTTTTTTTTTTTTTTTTTTTTGAGAGACAGGGTTTCTCCGTGTAGTCTTGGTAGACCAGGCTGGCCCTGAACTCACAGAAATCCACCTGCCTCTGCCTCCCAGAGTGCTAGAATTGCAGGCGTGCACCACTGCACCTGGCTGAGAGACGCTGTCTTAAACACACAAACATACCAAGTTGAGTGATAGGTTATACAATTGAGCTTTATAGGGAGAGCAGAATCCACTTGTCCAAATCCAGGCAATTCAGCAAGGCATCTAGCTTTTATTGTCCAGATATTTCATAGTCTATATAGTCAGAATTTCTGGGGCTGAGGAGACCCAAATAATATTAGTAGTTTGGAGATATGATTCATATATCATAAATTTTATATGGTTCTACAGCCGTTACAGTTATTCCAGAATATTTTCAGCACCCCTTAAGGATCCCTCTACCTTCCTGTTAGCTGTCACCTCCCCTTTGGTAGCCTTTCCCCATTAGGTTTGTAACTCTGGGTTTAGCCTGTTTTTCCTCTTCCTTCCAGATCATGGTATCGTTGGAATCACCCCACCTACCTCCACTGAGACCAAAAACTTCCTCCCACTCCACCCGGCCCTTTGTTCCCACTGGGAGGAAGGGAGTCATGCCTTCCACGTATGGACAGACTACTTTGAGAACAGTGGGATGAATGGCCACTGCTGAGAGCAACCCCACACTGTTGCCTTCTCTGGGATCCAGAGCCTCCAGAGAACCAAACTATGACTGAAGGCCACACTCATGCCTTGGGCTCTTGATCAGCCTCCTGGGAATTTACCGTGCTCGCCTGCCTTGCCTGTGGCTCGCTCCTTACTCTAATGTTTTTGATGGCTTCACTATGGCTTCATCTATTGGAGAAAGGGCATTCCACCATTGTTAATCTTCACCTCCCCTGTGGGCTTCTGGGTACAGCTATTTGCTCAGTGCACCAAACTTCAAGAAGGGTAGCTCATGGTTTTGACTGACTTCAGCCACAGTCCTGTCTCTACCAAAGCCTTATCCTGTTTAATTAGCACAGTTTTCCCACAGAATCTCCATTTTGCCCCATTTTCTTATAACCCTCACTCCCTCTTCTCCAACCGAATCTGTCCATTCTTGGGTCCTACAAAGTCCCTTCCTCTCTACAAATGGCTGAGCTACCCTCTGGTCCTGTTGCTCATTCTGCAGGTTCTCCTCTGTTGCCCACATCTAGCCAACTTCAGAACACTTTTCTTTTCTCCGCTCCCTGTGTCACCTTGCCATGTCCCCTCTCCTTTCTCCTGGCCAGACAATCAAGGAAACCAAGAGAGAGAGAGAGACACTCCCAAGACGCTGGCCACATTCTTGTACATAGTCCTTTCCTGTTCTCCATGACCTTTCCTCTTTAATATGTAAATTTCCAGCAAAATGTTTAACTCAGGTGTGAATTTTTGAAGATGTCTCTATAATATTTTATCTTCTACTACAAAAGGAGGGGGGATACCAAAGTGTATTCCCCAGAGTTCCCACGAGCTAGGGTTCTGCTGACTTTGGGGGGAACATTATATGTGGAGTCTCCTTCTGTGGGTCTGTGTGTAAAGCTGTCACATGAAGCCATCCCAGGAATGGTAACTTTTTTTTTTTTAAAGACTGACTATCCAAGAAACTGTTGAGAGTCAAAGGAATCTCTCTGTTTCTAAATATATTTGTATAGCAATGACATAAACTATTCCACTGTTAATAACAAGAGGTGTTCAAAGGAGTGTTTAGTGCCTTTGTGTGGGGGTTGGGCAGGGGGTGGGGTGGGGGTGTGTGAGTGCAGATAATGGAAACGGGAAGGGGGAAATAGTTTTGTTTGGAACATGTAATGGCTATTGGGGATGGTCTGTATTAATACAGCCCCCACCCCCCAATGTTCTTACTCAGTGAGACAGAACTACTTTGGGAGCCTGGCAGGGAGAGATTGTTCCTCATTTCATAAGAAGGGAGTTTGGTGAAGATTTAAGGTCATGTCACCTGAAGCTATAGGAGGTGGAGGCCAGGGCTAATCTGTCTTACGTATCCTAAATATTGACTACTCCACTGCCGTTATTTACAATGGAGAGCAAAAGCTCCCTAACACAAAGGATCTCATGACTGTCTGTATTGGCTGGAGAAGACGTCACCTAGTGAGACAGCTGAAGGGTAGGTCAGCTGCTATTGAGCTTTTCATTAGGTTAATATTTGTTGGTGGTAGGATTTGTTGTTGTTGTTTTTGTTTTTTGAGGTAGGGTCTCATCCTGTAACCCAGGCTGGCCTCAAGCTCATTATTTAGCCAGATTGAATTTAAACTCATTGCAATCCTCCTGCCTCAACATCCTAAATGATAGGATCACAGTCCAGGAGGCTACCTCAACCAGTCACCAGCTTAATAAAAATAAATAAGTAGATAGATAGATAAGTAAATAAATGGCTGAAGACCTGTAAGAGCTGGTGAGCAGAAACAAAGATTGGGATTTGTGATGCTCCTACATAGCTGTGATCAAAATGCCTGACAGAACAACCTGAGGCAGGAAAGATTTTCTTCAGCATATGGTTTCAGATGTGTTTGTTATAGCTGGCAGAGCGAAATAACTCTCAGCATGGCAGAAAGGAAACAACGAAAGGTTAGCAAGAAGGAGCAATGGGTAGATAACCTCAAAGACCTTCCCCTAAGTAGAGCCCCCTGACTAATGCCATCATCCCATTATGAATCTATCAGAAGATTATTTTTGGCCAGGCATGGTATTCCAGCACTCGAAAAGGCAGGTTGAATTTTGAGTTCAAGGCCAACCTGGTCTACAAAGTGAGTCCAGGACATCCAGGGTTACACAGAGAAACCCTGTCTCAAAAAACAAAACAACAAAAGATTATTTCATTCCTTAGGTCACAGCCCTCATGTGCCCTTCTGGAAACATCACCACAGACAGGAGTATGCCTTGTTCCTGATGTCTCAAAACCCAATCAACTTGCAAATCAAAATTAGCCATCATAGGATTAAACATTTATTGCAAATAATTATAACTAATTATAACATATACATGGGACGCCTATACAGAAACCATTAAGAGTCTACTATTCCTGGTGCTTGAAATTATTTAGGTTCAGGAGAAGCCGCGCACTGACCACTCGGACACCAGACTCACAGTGATGGAAGTTTATTGAATGCTTAGCAAAGTCTGACTAGTGTGGATCCAAGGAACCAAGATTGTGGCCCTGAGCTGTTTTCAGAGTGAGTTTTTAAAGGAGAAAAGACCATAACCAAGCAGGAAGAATCAATTCTAGTCCAAGTACACTGTGCCTTGGTAGCTAGACACAGCATTTTAAGCTGATTGGCTGGGGTGTAGGGAAACTTTTGGGAACTTTCCAGTTCTCCACCATTCCAAGAGAAGGGAACATAGCAGGGTATTTTGGTTCAACTGTAACAGAACATACATTTATCTTTAATATGTTCAAGTAGAACATGCACTTATCATTTGTTGTTTTATTCTAAGCAGCAAGTATTGAATTGTAAGTAAAAGGCTATTATGTCAGTGCCTAAGAACTTGAATTCAATCTCACTTTATGATCAAAATGGAGGCTAAAGACAAAATGGCTTCAATAAAGACAAAAGCAGGTGCCAACAGAGGAGCTACAGTTATGCTAAAAGCTAAAGTAAGTCTCAACAGAGGGGCTATAATTTATGCAAAAAGTTAAAATGGGCCTCAAGAAAAATCAGCTTATATTCTGACTTCTGTTTTGTGCCATAAAGTGGGAAAGTTCTATTGGTAGTGGTTACTTTGGAAAGATAAAAAGATGTAGTTAAAAAGGGTGGTCCACACCTCTAATCCCAGTGCTCCAGAAGCAGAGGCAAGCCGATCTCTGTGAGTTTGAAAACTGTGTATGTGTGTGAGAGAGAGGAGAGAGTGCTGAGGTAAAACAGTGGTGGTTTCTGCAGGCTACACCAGACACAGGAGGCTGAGGTAGGAAGATTGCTTGAGTCTACGAGTCAACACTACCCTCAATGGCATAATGAGACCCAGTTTCAAAAAGAAAGTGCATGTGGGAGGCTAGGTATGCATCAATGAGAAGGTGGAAGGAGTCCACGGCAGTCATTTCAGAGTCTAACGGAAGGATGCTGCCGTACAAAAATATCTGTGCGGATCACTGCACATCCATGCCTGTTGCTAACAGAGGTCAGAGTGGACCCTCTCCTGCTCCATCATGTACTAGCCACCTTGACCTCCCACCCAGGTAGGTCCTGAAACCATCTCTTGCACCATCTAAAACTTATTGCTCCATATTTTGTGAGCAGAGACTTGGGAAGCAGAGACAGGTGGATCACTGTGAGTTAGAGGCTAGTGTGGTCTATGTAGTGAGTTCCAGGCCATCCAGGGTTACAAAGAGAGTTCCTGTCTCAAAAACAAACTGAGTAAAATAAACTTTTTGCATAAACTTGGCCTTCAGTAGCTCCTGCTGCCCATTGACTGGGACATTTGCTGAGTGTAAGCAAAACTGGCAGGTGGGCAGGATTCTGTAAAATTTGTATTTCCAAAGAAGTTTAATGCAAGTTGTTTGTTTGTTTGTTTTAGCTGCTTCATATCTAGGAGCGTCTAAGAGACAAGCACCTAAGAGCAACATCTACCGTGTGTGGAAGGGTAAAGAAAGGAGGAAAAGACTTCGGCTGTTGATCATTTCATACTGTCTATTTATATACTTACAGCAGCATCTTGCCTTTTGCTGGCCTGGTTTTACAACGTAGCTCAGACTACGACATTTTGTTGGTTTGTTTGTTGTTGTTGTTGTTGTTTGGATCCTTTGTGGCACAGGTTAGCCTGAAACTCACTGTGTAGATCAGGATGATCTCAAGCTACTGAGAAATCAAGTACTGGGATGACAAGCCTATGCCACTACGTCTACCTTCTAAGGCAAAGTAAGACTTTTGGGTCCATCTCGGGATGATTTGAGTTAGGGAACCTGCCTCTAGCCCCCAGGTGTCCAGGCACTGGACCCACTGCCATGGACACTCCAGCAGATCTCTGAGTATCCTCTGTCCTGTCCTAGTGTCCTCCATCCCCAACACACTCTTTGTTGTCTTTAAGGGCTAGCATCACTACTTGCACATAATAGGGCATTGAAGAGTTTTAAAGCTAGGCAAGGTCATGCATGCCTATAATCACAGCACTCAGGAGACTGAGGTAGGAGGAATCAGGAGTTCAAAGCTAGCCTTGGCTATGATAGTGAGCTCAGGGTGAGCCTGGACTTGAATTAGACCTTGCCTCAAACACTGGTGCACACAGGGAATCTAAACCAGGGAATTGTAAACATTTTACTCACAACCCCTTTTTAGCAGAGAAATTCTTACATTAGACATCCTGCATTATATATATATATGTAATATATAAACACATCTATCTATATACATATAAACACATATATACATATATAGTGGCATATATTGGTGTATAAGGCAAACATTTACTGGTAGAAAAAAAATCAGAGTATTTTATTTTAAGACAATTCTTTGGCGCAAATTAACCAGTTAGAAATTACATAAACAACGTTGCATAGTAATGAAATGGACTTGCTTGTTTATTTTTACAAAAAATTAAATCTTGGCTTTTTTTTTTTTTTTTGATTCAGGTTCTCACTATATAGCTCTTATATAGCCTCACACTCATGAGACCCTGCCTCTGCCTCCAGAGTGCCAAGGTTGAAGGCCTATGCCACCACACTCGGCTAACAACCTGGAATTACATGTTTGACTTTGATTTAATTTTTAAAAACATTTATTTACTTGTATTTTATATGCATTTGTGCTTCACCCACACATATGTCTAAATGAGGGCATCGGATCCCCTGGAACTGGAGTTACAGACAGTTGTGAACTGCCATGTAGGTGCCAAGAATTGAACCCAGGTCCTCCGGCAGAACAGCCAGTGCTTTTAACCACTGAGCCATCTCTCCAGCCCTGAGTTAATTTTTTTTTTTTTTTAATCTGTAAGCATTCAGAAACTAAATTGTGCTGCTGTCAAATTTTTTATGCGTGTGTGAGAGAGATGACGTTAGTAGAGAGCTTCACTGATTTGGTGGAGCAGAGACTGACTAAAGATAAATTAATATAGTTTAGGGGGCTGGAGAGATGGCCCCGTGGGTTAAGAACACTGGCTGCTCTCAAGAGGACCCAGGTTAGATTCCCAATGCTGCGTGTTGTCTCTCGACTGTAGCTGTAACTGGAACTGGAACTCGCATGTTGTCTCGCGACTGGAACTGTAACTCCAGTTCCAGAAAATCCTTCATCCACTGGCTGCTGCAGGCACTGCATGAACGTGGTGGACAGAAACACATGCAGGCAAAACACCCATACACATACAGGTTTGGTTTTGTTTTGTTTTGCAAGACAGCGTTTCTCTGTGTAGCCTTAGCTGTTCTGGACTGAGTTTGTAGACCAGGCTGGCCTTGAACTCATAGTGATCTACCTGCCTCTGCCTCCCAAGTGCTTGGACTAAAAGTGTGCCACCACATCTAGCCCACATATAAAATTTTTTTTAAAAAGATAGTACCATTTCATTTCAATAATAAAGCCTGAATTCAGAACCCCAGTCACTTTTGTATAAAGGTCCATTATTCTTGGAAGAAAAGACACCTTCTCAATCCTAAACCCATAGACCGCTTTAGCCATTTCTTTCTTTCTTTCTTTCTTTCTTTCTTTCTTTCTTTCTTTCTTTCTTTCTTTCTTTCTTTCTTTCTTTCTTTTCTTCCTTCCTTATCTATCTATCTATCTATCTATCTATCTATCTATCTATCTATATCTATCTATCTATCTATTTTTGTTTTTTTTTGAGACAGGTTTTTCCTGTGTAGCCGTGGCTATTCTAGACTCACTTTGTAACCCAGGCTAGCCCTGAACTCACAGAGATCTGACTGCCTCTGCCCCCTATAGTGCTGGGATTAAAGGCGTGGGCCCCTACACCTGAGGACTCCTTCAGTCTATAACAGTCTGCTCTTTGGTGGAAAATAGAGGCAGCAAGAAGAAAGTCCCAGATCAAGAGAGACTGGACTGAAAACAAAATGCTGAGGCAAACACAAATCAAGGGTTGGGTCTGCTTATAGACCTGTTGAGTCTCGAAGCTCACTGTGTCACCATTCTCCAGGCTTTTATTTTTTGTCATTTGGTCTGTCTCAGCACACTTCCAATGGGTCTTCTCCAGCTGCTCTCACACTAATTTTAACTTTTTTTTTTTTCCAAGTGCCCCTGTAGCACCTGTTCTTGACTTTGGTAGCAAGCTGGAATCACCTGGGTATCAGTGATTGACATCCACACTGATGTTCTGATTTACTTCTTTTGGTGTGTGAACTTGGCACTGTCAGTTAAAATGCTATTTAAATAATTCTATGTGGGGAGATGGCGAATCGCTGCCCAAGGCTTGGATAGAGTAGCTCAGTGGTGGAGTGCTTGTTTAGCATGCCCAAAGCCCTGAGTTCAAAACTCAGCACTGCCAGAGAATTGCTGTTAACATGCAAATTCCAGTTTAGTATGTCCGGAGTTAGGATCTGGGGTTGCGAATGTCCAGCAAACAACTGGGGTGATGCTGATTTTGTGGGCGGTCTTTCTCTGGTTCCTAAACCACATACTGAACTACAGAAGCTGAGAGAGCATAGCAGTGTTTTTTTCCTTGCCCAAAGCATCACAGGCTTCCTCTTAGCCACTGAAGGAGATGGCTTGGCCAGACACCTGGAGCTGGCGTCAAGACAGCTGAGGTTCTCTGGCCACAGCGGCTCTTAAATGTGACTAACCATCTGAATGACCCCAGGCAGATTTTAAAACACACTTACTCCTGCCCCACGCCACACCTATCAGATCACAACCTTTAAGACACAGTCTTTACATGGGTGCTTTGAAATGTCTTTCCAAGTAGTGCAGATGACCAACAGGCTTTGGACAGTCAGCTGTGCTGCTTCTAATGGAGTCTTCTATTGATTCTGCTTTCTCTTCCTTTTGAGAGATGTTGCCTGTAGACCAAACTGGTTTGAATTCGCTGTGTTGCTGAGAATGACATTGAGTTCCTGCTTCCTGCCTCTACCTCCTGAGTGCTGGGATCACAGATGTAAACCAACTGATTTACTCCTTTATTATCTCAGTTGATAAATATTCATTAAACCTGTCCCATACTAGGTTCTAGGGAAACAGGTGAAAACATTGCCATCTCTACCTTTGAAGGGTTAGTATGATAAGGGACCAAAATGAGAACATTTACAATTTCTACACGAGATCTTCACTTCTTGGCTCCTTAGCACCCCATCATTTTCAATCTCAATCGGCAAGCCAGAGCCCCCCTCCCTACTCCATTATTCTAGTTGGACCCCACCCCTAACCCCATTGTGTTTTAATTTTGAGACAAAGTATGCAGGCTAGGCTCCAGGTTACAACCCTCCTGCCTCAGCCTCCGAAGGGCTGGGATTACAGGCATGTGCCACCATGCCCGGCTCCAACCTTTTACTTTTAAACCTTATGTTAACACTCAGTTAGAAACAATGCTAAATACATACATACATACTTCACATACACACACACACAGAGTAACGCAACTCCCAGGTTTAAATATTTTTCTGGCACTCAGTGTGCTTGTTTCAGTACTCAAGCACACTGAGTCAAGCAGGAGACCAGAGACAGAGTCTTGCATCACCTGTTGTGTATTGTGGGTGCTTAGTAGGTGCTCAGTAAATGCTTGGTGAAGAGGCTCACTGAGTGGATCAGGATTTACTGCGATAGAGTACTGAAGTTTGAATCCAGGGTCTCACACGATAGGTAAACGTTCTGCTAAAAAGCCAGACAGACACTCCACAACCACAGCCCTACTAAGATTTAAACAGACAACAAACAAGCGCAACAGACTGTCCTTCCCTTCTCTTCCCTGTCCAAAGACGGACACTCCATCCTGCTCCGTTTGACCCAGCCAGCATCCACTCTGCCGTCTGTCCTCCCAGCCAGCAGGTGCCCCTAGACCCCCGGCTCCTCCTCCTCCGCCGTCACAGCCTCGTCTCCCCCCGCCCCCTCCCCCCCTACAGCTTCCTGTCGCCGCGATCCGGGCCCTGGGCTGTGGGCGCCCGGGCGCCCGAGGCTTCCCGGTGCGCTTGTCCAGGTAACAACGCACGCCGGCGGGATGGGCACCGGCCTGCCCTTGGCGCAGGCGGGAAAGGAGGCGGGCGGGCGGCCAGGTGCGCGCGGGCTCCTCTGCCCCGGGGCACCGGGTCCTCTCTGCGCCAAGCCCTGGACACCCGGCAGGATGCCTAGATAACGGTCCGGGATGGGGCGATCCGTGCTGGAAGCCGGGCGTGGCCTAAGTCTTGGCCACTTCCCCACTGCGGGATGTGACCTTGCTGCTGGCTCGGAGCCCCGGGCTGCAGCTCGCTTGAGGCCCGGAGCCAGGCGCCCGCCCAGCCCTGCTGCTCTCCGGGATAGGGGAGCCCGGGCACTGAGCTGCAAGGGCCTGGGAACCTCCCAGACCCCACACCAGACACGCAGGCTCAAGGTCACAGAACTGAGTCTGCCGTTTACAAATGCCTGCTTTTTACTGGAGTGTTTGTAAATGGGCTACTGTTTCCTCTCTTGGGCCAGGGAATTAGGATTCAGAGAAGAGGACTCTAAAAATACTAATCGCCGAGTCCCAATCAGCTGATCCGCCTTACTGGCCAGTGACCCTGGCCTTTGAAAGGAAGTAAGGGGGACAGCGCTTTTCACTTGGGTACTTTGTATGTCTTCCCTTACTCTGAAGATTGGCCTAGAAGTTTCAGAAAATGTGTATTAGAACTGAACTGACCTTTTTTTTTTTTTTTTCTTTCCGACCTTTTCCTGTTCCCAAATTTTAGTTTAAACACATTCTTCAGGTTAAAGAGATTTCCCCACTTACAGGTTTGTGATGTACACCTACTGTTTTCTTGAATGGGGACCTGGTTTCTCATGAAAGCTGAACAAAACTTGCCCTTTGCCCAAACCCTCTCTGGATAGCATTCCTGGGAGTGGCTCGAGTATTGAGAGGTGTTGGTCCGCATTTGTCAGAAAAGGGTGAAGGGCAGCCATGCGGAGAATTCCTGCAGAGATGAGACGAGTAGCTGACATGTTTGGGATTTCTTTTTTTTCTTTTTTGTTTGTATTTTCAACAGAGGAGCTAATGCATATTAACAATGTAATTTTTTTTTTGGAGTCTCCTTATCTATATAACAATTCAGTGTTGACTACTGTCTAAATGTATCAGCAAAATTAAAAAATGTAAGTTTTCTGACTTTACCATTGTTCTATCTTGTATCTGTCTATCATCTGTCTGTCTCTCTGTCTGTCTGTCTTTCTGTCTGTCTGTCTGTCTATCTATCTAAATTCATTTTGAAACAAGGCCTTACTGTGTAGCCCTGTCAAGGCCTGGAACTCATTGTGTTGACCAGTCCTCCTCTAGGCCAGCCACCTGCCTCTGCTGCCCCAGCGCTGGGATTATAGGCATTCACCAGCTACTTTGCTTTACTTTTAAACTGAATAATACCTTAAGGATATTTTTGAATCTCAACATTTACTTAAAAATCCTTTTGCTTCCTTGTTGATAAATAATAGAGTTGGGAGACTTTCCAAGATGTCTGGAGTCTCTGTTTGGCTCTCTGTTTACATTTGCCTCAAGTTTCGATTTTGACTGATAAACCTGTGACCCAAATCCAGACCTCAGCCAAATTTAGTTTCAGCTTAACTACATTAAAATGCCTGGTGTCATGTGACTTCTAGCAGAAACCAAATCGGTATTTTATTTGTTTATTTTTTTTTTTGTGAGAGTGTTTTTGTGTGTGTGTTTGAGTGCGTGCGCGCGCGCGCGCGCACGCACACACACACACACACACACACACACACGGTGGTATTCCTCAGTCTCTCTCTACCTTGCTTTTTGCGGTAGGGTTTCTCAACAGGAATTCATCTGTCTGCATCTGCCTGGCACTGACATGGCTAGCACTCCATGTTTGGCTTTTTACATGGCTTTGGAGCTTGAACTTAGGTTCTCATGTTTACCAAATGAACTGACTTCACTCCCCTCTTTTGTGTGTGTGGTGTGATCCTGGGGATTGAACCCAAGGTGTCATAAATGAAAGGCAAGTGTCCTACCACTGAGCTATATCCCTAATCCTTTCTCATTCTGTTTTAAGGCATGCCTTCTGTAAATAGCCCAGGCTGGCCTTGAACCTGCTATGCAGACAAAACTGACTTGAAACTGGACATCCTCCTAACTCAGCCTCCTGAGTGGCTGCGATGACAGGCACATAACACGCTGCCTGGCTAGTGCTGGGATTCATGACGTGTGAGCATATTATTAGATGCACATGTGTATCTAATATTTACTGTGTATCACTGTCCAAAGTCTGCAATCTCTGAAAGGTTATTATTGATATCTGGTCAGCATTAGTTGACTGTGGAGTTAGCGTAGTAATTCAGAGGGCAGTTGTTGGTTTACAGATCACAGCTTTCAGCAGCTGCCAACATCGTATCTCTAGAGGGCTTAGACTTATAAATACAGCAGCCACATTCACGTACATATATAGTGAAGAGTTTCAGTAAAGGCCTTGATAGTAGCAATTTGGGCATGTTCACAAAATGACTGCTGCTATTTTCTTAGGGTACATCCTTTGTTTTCCTGGTTTTGGTCTCTTCTGTCATAGGATGGCATTAGGTCTGTGTCTGCAGGTGCTGTGCAGCCTGGGTGGCTGGCTCTCACTCTATGCATCTTTCTGCCGCCTGAATAAGCACCGAAGCTATGAGTGGAGCTGCCGGCTGGTGACCTTCACCCATGGAGTCCTCTCTATAGGCCTGTCTGCTTATATTGGCTTCATTGATGGCCCTTGGCCTTTTACCCACCCAGGTAGGTAGAGGGGACATTAGAGATTTTTTTCCTTAGGGGTTTGTGATTTGGGAAGTTGAAAAAATTAACTTGTGTAATATTGAACATTTCCCTTCCTAATAATTTGTGTCGCAGTCTTCACTATCAACTTTAATATTGGGTATGTCACCTGTTGCTTCTTTTGCTCATAAATCTTTTGTGCTACTGGGGTTCTTTTCTTTTCTTGTTTGTTTGCATTTCTGGAGATTGACTCTAGGGCTATGAACATGTTAGGCAAGTGTTTTATCATTGCATTGTGTCCCTGGTCTCTTTCATGTTTATTTGTAAGCTGACCATGTTGGCCTGGCTGCTCATTCTGTAGTCAAAGCTGGCCTTAAATGTATGCTTCCGCTGCTTCAGCCTTCTGAGTAGCTAAGATTAAAGGCTCGTACAACTTGGATGTTGATTTTTTTTTTTTTAAGATAAGTTCTTGTTTTTTTAGCCCAAGCTGTGTAGCCTTGGCTGTCATGAAATTGATTTGTAGACCAGGCTGGCCTTGAACTCACAGTGATGGCCTTGCCTCTTCCTCCCTGAGTGCTGGGATTAAAGGTGCGCATACCAAGCCTGGCCTAAGTTTTGTGTTTCAATTGAAGACTCTTAACCATTTTGAATATATCAGGTATTTTTGCCTCATGTTTTTTGGATAAGAGGATGCTCTGAATTTGGGAATTCTACTTTCAGGATGGGTTTGAGCTGCCAGTTTCCAATAACCTAACCCCTTAGGTTAATAAATGAATCTGACGTGCATGACAGAGTGGCCCAAGGGTCTGCAAACAGACCGGTAGCTCTTTAAAAAGGGGGGAGAGTTAGAATATTCATTGAAACAACAAAGTACTATGTTATTTTCTTCCTTAGGAAGACCATTGTGGTTGAACAATGAAATCATTCATTGAAGTCTTTGAGGTTTTATTACTGTTTTATTGTTTTTCCTGATATGCTTTTGAGACTCGTCTACCCAGGCTTGAATTTACTCTGTAGCCTCTGTCTGTAATCCACAGTCTTGAAGGCTAAACCAGGGAGATTGCTAAAAGTTCCAGGCCAGCCTCCGCTGCAAAGCAAGTAGTAGGAAGACCCTGTCTTGAAAAAGCAAAAACAGAAGCAAACCAAGGAAGACCACAGTTTTAGATGTTAAGTTTGTTCGTCTTTTTGAGACAGGCTTTCATGTAACTCAGGCTGGTCCTGACTCCCTGTGTAGCAAAGGCTGGCCTTGTCCTGATCTTCCTTCTACCACCCAAGTGCTGAGGTTATAAGGCTAGATTTTAGGTTTTATTTTATCGTCATCATTTTAAAAAGCTTGAGTCTGTCATTGCTTTTGTCTTCTTTAGTGGTTCAGAAAGGTTTGAAAGACAGCTGGGCGCAGTGGTGCACATCTGTGATCTCAGCAGTCAGGGAGGCAAAGGCAGGTGGATCTCTATGAGTTCGAGGCCAGCCTGGTTTACAAAGAGAGTCCAGGACAGCCAAGGCTACACAGAGAAACCCTGTCTCAAAAAATGAAAAGAAAGAAAGAAAGAAAGAAAGAAAGAAAGAAAGAAAGAAAGAAAGAAAGAAAGAAAGGGAAGGAAGGCAGACAGTGGCAGAGGATTCCTGTGCAGGTGGCCCAATTCCCAGCCACGTTTTCTTTTTCTGTCTTGATCTGTTTCAGGCTCTCCGAACACACCCCTCCAAGTTCACGTTCTGTGTCTTACCTTGGGCTACTTCATCTTCGACTTGGCCTGGTGCATCTATTTCCAGTCTGAGGGGACCCTGATGCTGGCTCATCACACACTGAGCATCTTGGGAATCATCATGGCCTTAGTGCTTGGGGAGTCGGGCACAGAGGTCAACGCAGTTCTCTTTGGAAGTGAGATCACCAACCCACTGCTCCAGCTGCGCTGGTTTCTCCGTGAAACAGGCCACTACCACAGTTTCACTGGGGATGTGGTGGACTTCCTCTTTGTGGCTCTGTTCACTGGTGTGAGGATTGGCGTAGGCGCTCATCTCCTCGTCTGTGAAATGGTTTCACCCACACCCAAGTGGTTTGTGAAGGTTGGGGGGGTAGCGATGTACGCTGTGTCTTGGTGCTTTATGGTTAGTATCTGGCGCTTTGCATGGAAGAAGAGCATCAAGAAGTATCATGCATGGAGAAGCAGGCAGAATGAGGAGCGACAAGTAAGACATAATGGGCATCTCAAAACACACTAGCCAAGGCCTGCTCCCAGTGAATGGCTTGGGTTGAACTGGCCGTGGGGCCAGGGTCAGAAACAGAACTGAGCTTATAGTGCTGAAGAAGTGAGCTTAATAGTGCACTTAGGTTTTGAAAAAGGGCTAAATGAACCCATCACTTCAGTCAGTTTCCAAGCTAAGCACATGCAGTATTGAAACACTCACTCCTGCAGTGGTATTTGCATATCCGCAGTGGTGACTGACATTGCCTCCGTGCTGACTGGCAAGTGGGTAAAACTGTATAGTGAGAGCCATTGTCACCTGTTTTGGGGTCCCCGTGTTCATGGGAGGCCTGATAATCAGACAGCTTTTGAAAAGGACTTGAGTCAAATTAGTGCTGTTTCTTGCTCTTTTGGAAATAACTCCATCCCCACACTTACTCCTGATTTCCACGAGACATTTTAAGTACGTTCACCCCATGTGCTATAAAGGGAGGAACTCTCCGGAGGGGACATGCGTTAGGTATCCAAGTATCTGTGAATGGGATCTGTTATGCAGAGAGGGACAGAAGAATGGGAGTGAAACTAGCAATGGCAGGGACTCCCCACTGAGCCTCCCTACACTAACTGTGTCAGAGGTTCCCAAGGATATCCTTGGTTTCCATGATTCATCAAGACGACTCAGGGCTTAGCCTTCAGTCTCACCGCTTTGATCTGTGACAATGACAGGAAACAGAGACGACTCAGCAAAGGGAAGAGGAACCTTTGTCAAAGCTCATGGAATCTAAGCATAAGTTTCTAAAGTCTCCTGCTTGGATATGCAGGAGTGATTCATGACAACACACATCAAAGTCATCAAAGACATGGTGTCCAGAGCTTTTGCTGTCAATAGGTTCTGTAAGCTCGTTCTAAGTAACACAAGGCAAATTTCAGGATTTCCCGAAGCAGGCATTCAGCGTAAGCCATATTGTTTCAGAAACAGTTTGGGAGCCGTGAGGCAGTCCTAACAGTTTCTGTGGGAGCCCTCTCCAAGCTGAAGTTCCTAGGTGCCAGCCAAGGGCTAACATTGCAAGCAGGCCTCTGCAAGGATAGCAGTTCAGGATTGCTGTGTTAACTCTTGTGTGCACAAAAACTGTACAGCTAGTGCTTTGGATGCAAGATGAACGAGGTTTGGGTAGATTTAGATTTACTTGGTCCTGTTGTACGGGTTCTGCCCTACCAGGAAAAGTATGCCAGTTCTCAGGGCTTTTGTGAATTAATCTGCTAGGCATGAGAGGCGATGGCTAAATTCCATGGGGATTTACCATGTGGATTCCACTGTACTTGAGATGGAGTTCAGGTTTCAGCTCCTGGTACATACTGCAAACTAGAACCAAAGATTTCAATATATGTATTAGCCTCAGGGTAATGAAGCTATTTCCTTCCTTCTTCCCTGCCTTTCTTCCTTCTTCATCTCCCTCACTCCTTCCGTTCCTCCCCTCATTCTTTTCTTTTCTTTGTTTCAGATACATTCCCTTTTTATCACTTTTTCCCCCTCTCCTGAGATATGGTCTTGCTTGTATAGTTCAGTCTAGCCTTGAACTCTATTCTCCTGCTTAAGCCTCCTCAGTGCTAGGATTACAATCCTGTGCCACCATGCCTGGCTCCGATGTAGGGCTTTAATGGAAAAAAAAAAGTATTACTTGTTTATGTATTTGATATTTTTACTGTTATTTAGATCAATGGTGATTGGTTAATTCAGGGGGTAAACCAGGGAATGATGCCCCTGAAGATGCAAGGCTGAGTCAGTTCAGCAAGCAGTGTCAGTATCTTCTATAGTCACTGGCTACATTCACCTAATGAGTGAATTTCCAAATGATGGCATTAGCCATCATACCAGCCATGAGGGAGAGGCTGGAAACCAGACATTCTTCCAAATGGAAAGGCACTTTAGCAGTGGGACCTTTAAGGTGACTGTTATATAATTAAAGGGATCGCTTTTGGCTGTTGGGTTTTTGTTTTTTTGGACAGGTAGGACCATGCCTCCTTTTTGTATGATTTGTGTCTCAGATTTGCCAGCAAATCTTTCCAGCAAAACTGTGGGTAGAATTGGAAACTGGGGAATGCTGATTTCAGCAAAATCGTAGTCAAAAAGAGTGGCTTGGCACACGAGCATAAAGGAAAAACAAAACAAAACTGGCTTTTGTATTTTGGCACCATGCAACCTGCTCCCGACCAGACAAGTGAACAGGCTTAATCTAATGCTGGCTGTTTTCTCCCTTTATCCTCAGAACTAAAGGATTGTGGATCTTTGTTTGAAGCAAACTCAAGGGAATGTCTGTAGGGTTATTTATTTATTTATTTTCTTGATAATAAGACTCCTGAACAAGTGATACAGGGGGAGGGATTCTTCACTCCTGCTTGTCTTGATATTCTAGCTAGTAAGTACGAAGAAGTTTCCCTTAGAGACAAAGGTGAAGATGACTCAGAAGTTGAGGTTGCCTGTTTTTACAACATAAGTGAATGAAGGGCAGATTAGTGTGTGATGCATCCCCAGACACAAAAGGGAATACTTACTTGCATTTGAATTACTGTGTAATCATCGCTGATGTTGCTCAAGAAGGATTTATATTTCAATACGATTTGTACTAAATTTTATAAAAATAAAATAACTTTTATAAACCCAGAGTCTGCCTTTGTATCTTTGCTGTGTTTTTTGCCAAGAAACAAACAAACAAACAAACAAACAAACAAACAAACAAACAACTTTGGCTTGTAGAACTGTTGACATCTATTCATACTCAGTGGTGACTCTGCTCTTTAGCACTCAGAAAATAGTTTGCCGAAAGAGGAAGACTAGCATTCTGATTTTACCACCTGTTTGAGCAGTTGCTCCCTCCCTCCCCAGTTCATCAGGCATGCCAGGCAAGCACTCTACACTGAGCTATATCCTCACTCCTGTGACTGGCCTACTCCCCCCCCCCCCCCCCGACCCCCCTTTTGAGACAAGGCTTCACTTTGTAGCACAGGCTGGCCTGAAACTCACTATGTAGCCTGCCTCTGGACTCATGGTAATCCTTTTCCCTCAGCCTTCCAAAGGCTGGGAGTATAGTTGTAAGCTACTATACCCAGCTAGACAGTGCATTTCTAATACTTAGAACAGTCCCTGGACACCGCAGGGCCTCCACAAAGCACACTGAAATGCTGGATGAAGAGGACAAATGTGACCTAGAGGAAGTCCCACTGGAAACTGCATGTTCAATGATTGGGTCACTGGTGCCACCTGCCTAGGTAAAGGGTAAAGGGCTATGTATGACCTACGGAAGAGGCCTTGGCTTGCTTGGCTCTGCTGAAGGCATTCCATAGGTAGACTCTTTAGAACAGTGGAACAGCCAACAGTTGTAATGAGCCTTTCCTCAGGCTATGAAAAAAAATCATTGCCTTGTGATTAGAGATTTTCACCATTGAAACAGTAGTTCTGGGGTGAATAGCCACTGGTTATTCAATCCCTTGCTGACCATCTTCTGAAAGCTTTCCCACAGCAAAATGCCTTCTTTGCTCACAGCTAGAACCTTGGGTCTGTTAAATTTGGAAAGATGTTGGAAGCAGCTTGCCAAAAGGTTTTGTATGCAAGGAAGAGAAGGTGAATTAGGAAACGTTCCCAGTTTGTTTCGTTCCTGAAGCTTAAGTTAAGCACTGAGGTGGCCTGGAAAGGAAGATGGGAACATATTTTTAAAATTCATGATTTGATGAGTCATCAGACCCCATTCATTTGATACTTACATTGTAACACTGTTAGAACAAGGGAGAGGACAGTACACACAAGAAAACTTGAAAGCTTGGGGAGGAGGTTTGCATTTTGTTTGTTGTATATAGGTTTATGGACTGCTTTCTACCTATAGGTAGAAACAAGTGGAGTCTTCAGGATAGAATTGCCATGTTGGGATTTACCAGCAGATGGCAACGTGTCCAGGTCTGATCATTAGGAAAGTGGCTTGGAACTCGAATCTGCTTCTATTCTTTCCAAAAATAAACATTACAAAATTAGCTGGCTGTGCCCTGAACTTAAAAAAAAAAAAAAAAATCCAGCAAGAGTCATTTCAGGCTTCTGTTTATCTCCCCCGCCCTCTTACCCTGTTCTAACGTCACCTTGGGTATCTATTCAGGGATAATGATCCTTTCACGAAGTGTTGTGGAATGGCTTAGAAACAGCATTATTAAGAGGTAATTGTTTCCTCTCCACACCCACTGTTTATTAGATTTGATTTCCACAAAATGGCCGAAGTCTCTTCCCGCAGACACGGACTGAAGCTCAGAAATCTGAAGATAATTGTATAAAAGAAATAGCCACTTGATGTTTGCGGGCAGAATTGGAGAACTATATTGTGTCGTGGTACCTCATTTCCTCAGGGACAGATTTATTCAATCATAAAACTACATAGTTAGCTGAATGCCTCCACCCCATAGAAAAAGAAACCGGAAAGCCACATTTGGGAACTCTTCAAAGGGATCCCTAATGCTGTTTACTGGACAGATATATTTCTTCTCCCGTCTCTTTTCACAACAAGCTTATTAACTTGCCGTGGAAAGCACCATGCTTTCTCAATCTGGCAAATAATACAGTTCATTTTGCCAAGGGAAAACAGCCTAAAAGCAATATTTGTATCAAGAACTCCTGTCTCCAGTGTGGGCCCAGATCCTTTCTTCACAGCCTGCTCTGGCCACCGTCCCCTGTCCCCGTTGCGGTGCTAGGCCAGCAGGTGCCCAGGTGAGTGGCCCACCCCAACCCTGTTTGTACGTGGGTTTGCCTAACACTGTCGGGGCACGTGGACCCGGGCTCTCGTGCCGTCCTCAAAAGCATTTGACACCCGGAACGAGTACATTCCCTTAAAGAATAAAAGTTTCCAGCACAAGAGGGGCGGGGAGTTCCCGAAGACCCTCTAGACGGGAACTCCTCGGGACTGTGGAATGACTCCTCGGTTGTCCCGGGTGGACCCTACAGTCTGGACTGCACTTCGAGGGCATCCCAAGACCACGAGGGCAGCGGCTGGCCGCGGAGGAAGAAGCCGGCCGCTTCGCCCCGCAGAACTACTTCTTCGCTCCCCTCCACCCGCCGCGACAGCGCTGCGCGGAAGCATCCTCGCAAGTTTGGAGAGTCTGGAAAGCGGAGGGATCCCGGGTGAAGCGGCTTCCCGAAGTCCCAGGGAGAAGGGCCCAAAAAGTCGGCGGGGGAGGGGACGGCTCGGCGCGCTCCAGCCGCGTCGGGCCGAGCAGACAGAACCGGAACCGGAACCCGCGCGCGCGCCCGCGGCGGTCGCCAGGGCCGTCCCCGCCGGCGGCCCCCTCCGCCCTGCGCGCGCGCCCGCGAGCGCCCCTGAGACCCGACGAGCGGCCCTGCGCTCGGAGCCTTCGCCGCCGCCGCTGCTCGGGGGCCGGGCTTCCGGGCCGGGCCGGGACCTCCCGCTCCTCGCGGGAGCCGCCGCCTACCAGAGCGTCGGGGAGGAGCCGCCGTGCCACTGCGGAAGAAGCGCGGGGTCCTCCGAGGGATGGGGAGCTGCCCCGGGCGCTGAGACGGGGTCCCTGTCAGCGCGGCGACCCGAGCCGGGTGGGGGCGGCGCGGAGCAGCTCAGGGCCCTCGGCCCGGGGACATGGGGCGGCGCGAGCCCGGCGCGGGACGACGCGAGACGCGGCGGAGGCTGCGGCCACGAGCGCCCGGCAGCCCCAGATAAAGCGGGGACCCGAGGGCCGGGCCCCAACGACTCGGGACAGGAGCCGACGCCCGTCCCGGAGCCGATCCTGCCCCAGCCCCGGGGGGACCTGGGTTCCCGTCCCACGGCTCGCGGCTTCCCTCTGTGACGAAGTTTTCTCCCGGTGCCTTGCTGAAGATCGTCCCTAGTTCTAGAACTCGCCTGTGGCCGACTTGCTCGGTTTGTTCGAGGAGATAACTTGTTTTGCTCCAACCCGCATCCCCTTTCCGTGACCCCTTGCAATTGGATGTTCTAGATGACTGAATGGAGTTTTGAGTTGGACTTTTGTGTCCCTGCCGACATTGGGTCTGATCCCAGAGCACTGGGGGTGGGGTGTGGAGGTGTTACTGTAAAATGCAAGTTGGATAAAAAGAAGACCTCTCGCCAAGGGCCCCAATGAGTGGCACACAGTCTACTATCACGGACAGGTGGGTATGAAGTTTCTCGGTGGCTGGATTCGGCCCCACGCAGCAGGGGAGTCGGTGATTGCAAATTTGCCTTCAGCTAGTGCAATTGACAGGCATAGGAAAGAGGCTTGTTTCGGAGCTGTGCAATTAGTCTAGGGTTGCTGCCAAGTTATCCGGTTGATTGAATTTGGAAATGCAGTTTTTTTTGGGAGAGAAACTTTCCCCCATATCCTTAGTGGAAATGAAGGAAAACCACGATTGTGGTTTTCTGACGGGTGCATTAGGATTGTGTATTCATTTTGGAACGAGAGGGAAGGTCATTTTGGGTGAAGGGCAGAGCCTGAGGTCGGTGGGTATTTGGGGCACCGTCAGGTTGATTCCTGTCCTGTGGTAGTTCTAGACTCTTAATTTTAGGAGTTTTTGTCTATGAACTAAATTTTCTGCTGCATGATGATTTGTGAATCTGATCTCTCGTTACGTGTTGACCTGCACACTGTTTAATTATTAATTACCTAATTTTCCAGAATGTTGACATTACCAGTAAATCACAGGCTTTTGCTGGGGACAGTTTCCAGGAGCTGAAGGAAATGAGGGAAAATCATGGGGCCTGCTTCTAATTATTCTTTTTTTTTTTTTTTTTTTTTTTTTTTTTTTTTTTTACATTTCACCTTCCAGAAACCCTCGCCTTTAAAGATGTAAATCGTAGGTCTGGTTTAGCGTGGCAGGTGGCTCCTGTGTGTTACACCTCGTGTGTATAGAGTGTGTGGCTCAAGTGTAGTTCTCTGACTTCCAAGTACTTTTCAGCGAAAGCAAGTTGTTTCCTTTAGCGTATTTTATTTCTCAATTTAATTATGACATTGTATTTTACTTCCAGATTTTAGTTTGCTGTTTCTTTTAAGCGAACCTTCAAATTGTTGTCCCAAACAAACAAACAGACATAATTGAAGCAGACCTTATGGAGCAACTATAGTGCTATAGCAACTATAGTGCTCCTGCCGAAGGCAGCTTAATTTCCTAATGAGGGAGTCTCACCCAATTGTGAGGCTCATCTGTTGATTTTTAAAGGAGCCAAATTCCATTATCATACAATAACAGCTCCTCCAGCGACAGAACTTCCTTTTCCTGTTGATGCTTTCCAGTGTCACATGAGTGTTCACCTAAAAGATGCCCTTAAATATTTAAACTGCTTATCTTTATCCTTTGTATACTTTGCTAGGCAGAACTTCATTTTCAGTTTTCCTGGTTATACAATTTACATGTATGTAGAGATAGTCGTTACATGTCTTCCTGTCTCCTATCCTGCTCCTTCTTTCATGGTGTTTTGCTTCTGAGAAATCACTCACAGGTTCATTCAATTCTTGTCTGTCAGCTAAGCCTATAGATAAGCAGACTTAGCAGAAACTGATGTAGTCCTGGTTTTCATTAAGATGTTCCAGAGTTTAATTCGTAGACACAGAATTTAGAGTCACCAAATCATTCCACACAAAATCTTTCTACACAAAAGTCCCTCAGCTTTGCTTCTCGGACTTTTGTTCCCTTTCTGGTATCTTGGATTTGGGTCTTTTTACTAACTTAATTCAGCATATGAACAATAAACATGCAGAAGTAAAATACAAAAATAAATTTTAAAAACCTGTATGTCTGTTGCTCATGTCTGTGTGTTCTGGTATGCAGGTGTCCTCAGAGACTGGAAGAGGCTTGGGGATTCCATGGTGGTTGTGAGCTGCCTACGCTGGGTGCTAGATATCTAACTTGAGCCCTCTGCAAGAGCAGTCATGTGCTCTTTAGCGGCTGAGCCATCTCTTTAGCCCTTTTTTTTTTTTTTTTTTTGAGACAGGTTCTTGTGGTGTGTCTCTGGCTGCATGGTACTTGTGGCACAGGCTATATATAACTCATGGTGGTCCTCCTGCCTCAGCTTCTAGAGTTGAGGAGGTTGAAGAATTCCTGCTGGATTCTTGCTCTTAGATAGTTACGTGAGAATAGTGGATGCATATTTTGTGAAGTCAGGTGTATACCTACCTGCCTCCCAGGGTTTCTCTTGGTAGCCCTAGCTGTCCTGTCTGTAGAACAGGTTAGCCTCAAACTCAGAGATTCACCTGCCTCTGTCCCCGAAGTGCTGGGATCAAAGGTCTGTGCCACCAACTCCCAGCTTAATTTTTTTCTTCATAAAGAGAATTACTATGTGACCACTACTTTTTCTTCTAAACCTACTCCGTAGATATAAAGCAGCCCTTTCTCTTTAAGAGAGTAGTTCCTGGTTTGAATATATGTTGAGGTGAGATCTGGAAGTACTGGTTTAGTAATGCTTCTATGCCAGAGTGCCTCAGCAAAGTTCTTTCTGTAGAATCTCAGCCCTTCTCCTCCGCACATCTTTTCTCAGTAATTCCAGTACATAGGAGATCTATTTTCCTGATTCTAGGACTGTTGGCAAATTAATAGTGCCAATGCAGCTTTTCAGAGACCCTTTCAAGTTTGAAGTACTGTATGTGGTATGGCTTTGTTCTGCAGAGTGTGCAGAGCCACCAGGCCAGCTGTGTGAGTTGGAGTTCTTTCATTGTGGTGCTTTTGACTACAGAGTCTGTCTGTCCTCAGTTGAAATCAGACTAGCTGGTTTTGGGCGTTGTTCTGTTTTGCAGTTTGTGGCAGGCGACACATGGCTGAACAAGATAAGAAGGGTTTTATTCTTGTGTTAGGGACGTGCTGGGGCTGGGATGGAATTCAGCTGTGTTTAGGCTCTGATTGGCCACTTTGGATATTCAGAACTCTTGTTACATCCTGTTATTATTTTGCAGTTAAAGTCACATATTCATTTGCTTCCTTTTTCCTCTCCCTTTTTTTTTTTTTTATCCCGGCACGCACTGCCTTAAAACTTGTGGTAGATTTATAAAGGCTGCTGGTTCCCCCTCAACTCCTTTGGATTTTTTTTTTTTTTTTTTCCTTTTTTTTTGATTTTTTTTTTTTTTTTTAATTTTTTTGGACAGGGTTTCTCTGTGTAGCCCTAGCTGTCCTAGAACTCACTCTGTAGACCAGGCTGGCCTTGAATTCACAGAGATCCACCTGCCTCTTGGAGTGCTGGGTACCACACGGTTATGTAGTGTATTCGAAAAGCTTTTTTTTTTAAAAAAAGATTTATTTACTTATGTGTCTGGGTATTTTGCCTGCATGCACAGCTATGTGCACCACATGTATGCCTGCTGCAGTGGATCCTCTGGAACTGGAGTTACAGACATTGTGAGTTTCTCTGTGGGTGATGGGAATTTAACCAGGCCCTCCAGTGCTCTTAACCACTGAGCCATCTCTCCAGCCCTGAAAGCTTTTAAAAATTATTTTATGGATGTTTTCTAGTCGCTTGCTTCATAGTAGTATATAAAACTACTAGTGTATATAACTAGTAGTTACAAAACTACTTTGAAGTCAGAAGACTAAAAAAGTGATAGATTGTCTGGTTGCTATTTTTCCATTTGCATTAATTGTTCTATTCAGCCCTAAAATGTCTTAGTAGTTTTCAGTGCTCCCTGGCTTGTTTCTATCCTTAGAGTGTCAGAAACTGTGGTGACTGACATCTCATTTGAGCAGTAGAAAGAAGAGAACGTTTTTTCAGTGGACCTGGTGAATGAATTCAGGGTAGATTTGGAACAGCAAGTTTTCCGTGTGGTACAGGTGGGAAAGTCAGCAGTGTCTTCCTTGGGATGCAAGGACTTTGTTTCGTTTGGGGCTTACAGATCTTGCTGTTTTTGATTTGTAGATTGTAGACAGTTTTTGATGTGTTGAAATTTACTTACCGCTGAATTTCGCTTTAAGGTTAACTTTTAAAAAGCTTTCAAGGGAACATGAAAGCCTATAACTTTATGTTCATATATAGAGCTATCATTCATGATTTTTTTTTTCTCCTGCTAAAGTGGTCTTATAGTTCTTCTAGTTAATAACAAAAACAAGCAACCTTCCCCCTTATGGTTGTATGTTATTTTCAAGGTTGCATGAATCATCTGTAAGATGTAATTATTTGTAATAGTTTCTTATAAAATGAGTCCATTTCAAATATAGTCTTGAAGTTGAGGATAAGGAGTATCACAGTGCCAATTTTATAATATTTTGTCTTTTCTAAGTTCAGAATAAAGTCCTGATTCACATAAGCCTGTAATATAGTACGTGTATTTCTACAGTTTTGCCAGTCAATATGGAGAGTCCAAAGTAGCTTTTTACAAAATATGGAGTTACAGCCTTCCTGATTAAAGCACACTTACATTATGTTTACATTTGTTTCATGAGTTGACAAAGGATGCTTTATTTGAAGTCATTGCAAAAGCGTGCTAGCCTGCTGATACCACTTAATACATTAGTGGTGTTTTCTGTTAATGTTAGTGGTTAGTGTTAACACTACCATGGTCCCCCGCCCCCATAATTTGTTTCATTATTTATACTGAGTGTTAACATGTGAACATCATAGATGGTAGACACAGCAGGATGTTTTAATGGTTCTCCACCGGCGATTGGAGGGATCCTGGTGCAGTGATTGTTTCACAGGCATTTTAATGCTGCTAGTGGCTGGGACTGCAGGTCAGTGACAGTGCGTGGTTCCTCTTCCAGCAAGGCAGGAGCAAATGGGTCTTACTACTTCGTTAATTCCCTTCGAGAAATGTCCTGGGACATTATAAGGAGGCTTAACTTAATTTTGTCTCATCTGTTAAAATTTGGATTTGATGACTTAATTTACATGGTGATAAGATTCCTTCTTTTAATTAAGAGTCTTCAGAATAGTGACATAACTGTTTCATCTCCTTTTGAATAAGATATTCTTTCATGGATGCAGTGATAGCCTATGGTATTATAATTTTTAATATTGATATGTTTTAAAATTTGGTGTATGGCAGATTGTATTTCCATTATTTATACTTTAGGGCAACTTATAATCAAGTCAGGCTCATAAAACTGGGACAATCAGATGTGATTTTTTTATTTTTTATTTTTATTTTTCCTTCTGCTGCTGCTGGAACCAGAGGTGTTGTGCCAGGCAAACCTTC